TTTGTAGTCACACGGGGTTCAGTCACTGCTGCCAGTGGAATCAAGGAAACCAGAGGCAGAGTGACGGAAAGAAAGAGCTCCGTTGGCAACAAGCCGCCTTGTGGGCAGCCGGTTGGCTCTGGCCTTCAGAGACCCTCTCACCTGAGGAAGAATCTGGTATATGATTTTCCAAGGGGAGATATGAGGGTCCTCAATCTCCAGTATTCCAAAAAGTCTCCTCTCTGGAGCCTGGCTTCGGCATCTTTCTCGTTCACAGGTTGGCGAGGGCTCCCTAGCGGCTCGTGTCTGCGTTTGTTGAGGTCAGTGTTTCTGGCAGGCACCTCCTGGGGTGGCCTTCCGCCATGGCTTGGGAGCACCCCGGAAGCGAGTGCTCCCTCTGTGCAGACCTAGCCAACGTTCGCGGACGGTTGACCCCTGAAAGTCCTGGTGATCCTCCCTGAATCTGTCATCAGTACGTGGTTTATACTGCTCTGGAGGAAGGGGAGAGGAGACTCTGACCCGAGTCCCTCAAGGTCCTGCTGTGAGGCGAAGAACAGCCATTCCTACAAACTCTTCTCTCCTCAGGCATGTGGGCCTGGAATCCCAACTCAGGCACTTAGTCTTTAGGAGGGGCTGGGGTGGCAGGCAGAGAAATCCCAGGGAGCAGAGAGTTAGGGTGACATGATTCCCCCAGGAGTCTCTGGGCTCAGCCTCTCCATGGACACTGGGGTTGGGGAAAGAGGCTTGTAGGCAGAATTCCAGGGCAGATTGTGGTGCCTGAGTTGGAACTTCCCTACCCCAAGCAGTCCCCCAGGTGCCGGTTAGAGGTACAGGAATCATGTTGCTATGCTTAGTATAAAAAAATACAGGATACCGGGTGCAGTGGTGTTTGTCTGTGATCCCAGCAGCTCGGGAGGCTGAGGCAGGAGGATGGAGAGTTCAAAGCCAGCCTCAGCAATGGCAAGGCACTAAGCAACTCAGTGAGACCCTGTCTCTAAATAAAATACAAAATAGGGCCATGGATGTGGCTCAGTGATTGAGTGCCCCTGAGTTCAACCCTTGGTACCCCCCCAATAATAATAATAATAAATAAAAATTAAAAATACAGGACATACTGTCAATTAAATAAAGAATAGGGCTTTAGTATAAGTATGTCCCAAATATGGCTTGGGGGGTTGGGGTTGTGGCTCAGCACGGTAGAGCACTCGCCTAGCACGTGAGAGGCACTGGGTTTGATCCTTAGCACCACATATAAATAAATAAATAAAATAAAAAGTTAAAAAATATATATGTCTTGGGACATACCGATGCAGCAAGATTCCACTCAAACTTCAAATGTCTGGGTGGTGGGCTGTGAAGGATCTCCTGGAGGGGCCGTGTTTCTGGTTCCTGCCCCCAATCACCCCTCCCCAATGTCATTTCTGCTGCAAGAAAAGCCCGTGAGACCCTAGGGTTCCCAACCCCTTGCGGGGGAAGCAAGGAGAAGCTCACCATCCTGCCCCATGCACACCCCCAGCTGGGCCCTGCCCAGCTGAGCTAACGTGTAAGTTCCCTGGGGCCCTGGTGAGGTGGAGATGGGAGGAAGGACGGAAAGGGAGGTGCACCTGGGGAGGTCTCGCTAATGCCAGACCCAGGCATCAAGGGCAGGACTGTGGCACCTGCTGTCTGGGAAGGGAGGGGGGGCTGGGACAGTGAAGCTGCCTCCAGAGTCACCCAGGCTGTCACCAGGGCTCTTTTGAAGCCCCACAGTGTATCCTGGTGCAATCTCTGAGCAAGCAGAGCTGGTCTTGTTGAGACAGGAACGGGCGCCCGCGGGTGAGCTGTGTGGGAATCCTATCAGCGCTTCTCATCAGCGGCATCAGAGCCTCCCGGCCTGGAGGAGCCAGACCCTCGGGGCAGGAGGAATGGGGCCGGGACCCACGGGCCGGGAACCAGCGCTGGGCCGGCCGAGCGGCTGAGCAAGCACCCCATCCCATCCAGGGCATCCCTGGCCCTAAGGCAAGGCCAAGGTCGCGCAGCTGGACAGGAATCTACTCATTTCTGCACCCTGGCCGCCGGCTCCTGGAATTCTGCATCTGGGCTTCCACTTGCTGTTAGCCACTGGACGGTGGGTGGCGGGGGCGTGCTCTGGGTCACCCCCATAATAGTCTCCTTCCCAGGCCAGACTTCAAGTCCTGGCTCACACCGTTGACCTTGGGCCAATCACTCCTCTCTCTGGGCCTTTGTTCTCTTGGCCAATGGAGGTGATCATCGCCTAGAACCTAGGTCAGAGCTCAGAGGGAGCAAAGGTTGCAAAAACCTGGCTGGAGGACGGGGCCCGCCCTGGAGGAACCTATCCTGCTGGCGCCCTGTTTGAAATGGTCTTGCTCTCGCTTGACTCTGGCTTCTTGTGACCAATCCCAGCTTGTTGAGCCGGCTCCCAGCAGGCCCTGGTGTCGGCCTGGAGAGGAGGGTCCCTGATTTCTCAGCGTCTCTGGAGGTTCCCGGCACGGTCGGTTATTCTCCTGTGCCTTCTTCCTGAGAAGCAGGAGTCTGGAGATTCCAAAGCTCTGGCCTGGGCCAGCCACCTTCTTCTCTGGGTCACGTCTGTTAACTGGGGCCATGACGTCACATTCATCTCAGAGGGACGTGGGGAGGATGAACTGAGGAGCCAGGTCAAAGCTGGCTCTGAGGACAGGTGGAAATTAGACAAGAATCACCATCACCTGAGGGTCCGTGTGCCCTGGGAGCTCTGAGATGAACGAGGCACAGTTGCAGAGACACACACACCAAGCCCAGGAGCAGAGGAGGAGTGGCAGACCCAGGCCCCTCACTGGGGGGTGAGATCAATAGGAGGCCTCCCAAGGGCCCCCTGTTTTCCCCAGGACTTGAGCTACCACCACCGGATTTACTCATTCCACGTTTCTTTACTGACCACTGACTATGTGTTAGGTGCTAGGGGTACAGCTGTGACCAAAATGGAGCCAGGCCTGGTGGCGCACACCTGTGATCCCGGAGGCTCGGGAGGCTGAGTCAGGAGGATCATGAGGTTCAAAGCCACCCTCAGCAAAAGCAAGACACTAAGCAACTCAGTGAGACCCTGTCTCTAAATAAAATACAAAATAGGGCTGGCGATGGGGCTCAGTGGTCGAGTGCCCCTGAGTTCAATCTCCAGTGCCAAAAAAAAAAAAAAAAACCAGACACACACACACACACACACAAATGTCCTTGAATGGCTGTAGCTGACATTCTAGTGTGGAAGAACAGAGTGAACAAGAAAAGTGAGAAAGAAACATGTAATGTCAAGTGGAAGGAAAGGCAGAGCAGGGCAAAGGGCCGTGGAGTGGGGACAACTATTTTATAGGAGCTGGTGTGGGGGGGTGGGGGGCTTCCTGAGGTGATGACATGAAAGCAGGGACCTGAAGGAGGTGAGGACAGAAAGTGCAAAGGCCCTGAGGCAGAAGTGAGCTTGGCTTCTTGAGCAGCAGCTGCCAGGTGGGTTGGCCCTGGTGCTGTAATGCCAGCTTCACCACACTCCCACGGCTGAGCCACGTCTGCCAGGTGTCTTCCTCTGAAGGGCCCTTCCAAATGAGGGGTGATCCCTTGAGACTGCATACGTGTGGACTTAATCCCCACAGCAACTTATGGCAGCTTAAAATCATGTCTGTAAATCTTTGACATGCTAGCCAAGGGTGAGGACGCACACCTGTAATCCCAGTTTCGGGAGGCTGAGGCAGGAGGATCACAAGTTCAAGGACAGCGTGGGAAACTTAGCAAGTCCCTGTCTCAAAAAATAAAAAATAAAAAGTACAGGGTGGAGCTCGGTGGTAGAGTGCTCCGGAGGGTCAACCCCCAGTACTGAAGGGGGGACTTTGTCATCCTATCTATCAAGAGAATTGGGGGCCTGCTAGGGCTGGGATGTAGCTCGGTTAGTAGAGGGCTTGCCTCACATGCACACGGCCCTGGGTTCAATCCTCAGCAACACACACACACACACAAAAGAATTGGGGTCTGCCATCCCCTCTTCTTGAATCTGAGCTCTGTGCTTGGCTAATAGAGTGTGTCACAAGTGTCTGTGCCTTTTTTCTGGCTGTGAGGAATTGGTGGCTTGCACTTTCTGTCTCTCTTGGGACATGGACTCTTGAAATCCAGCCACCATGCCGTGAAGAAGCCCACGCATCCTGGAGAGAACCCCATGAGGAGAGAGGGACAGGGCCTCAACCCTGCGCTCCTGGCTCCCAGCCAATACCAGCACCAACCCGCCAGCCACCTGAGCAGATCCTGGTGCCCCACTGAGCTACCTGCCTGGCACCCTGGAGCAGAGAGAGCGCCCGCCCTTCCCACCCCCATTAATCCCCGTCCAAATTTCAGATACATGAGTAAACAGTTGTTTTGTGCCACTATGTTTTAGAGTGTTTTTTGGCTTCTTTTGGTCCGGGGAATTGATTCCAAGGGTGCTTAACCACTGAGCCACATCCCAGCACTTTTTATATTTTATTTAGAGACAGGGTCTCGCCTCACTAAGTTGCTGAGGCTGGCTTTGAATTTGTGATCCTCCTGCCTCAGCCTCCTGAGCCGCTGGGATTACAGGTGTGAGCCACCATGCCTGGATCGAGGGTCTTTTTTAACACAATAATAGTTAAATGGAACGAACCTTGAGTCTCAGGTCTCCCCATTTCACAGATGAGAATGGAGGCACAGAGAATCAAAGTCCACCGGAGTCTCACGGTTAGTGGGAGAGCTGGGATTTCACAGTTGTTTGTTTGTTTTGTTGTTTCCCGTTCTGGGATCAAACCCAGGCCCTTGCTGAGGCTGGGCAGGCACAGCACTCCACCCACTGAGCCACATCCCGGCCCTGAAGCTGGCTTCTTAATTTTGGTAAAGCCCAATTTGTTATTCTTTTATGGTTTATGTGTTTTTGTGCACCATTTTGAAACACGGTATTTTTCACATGGGACTGCAGAGCCTTTTTTGCAGGGTTCCGACTCCCCTGGCCTCAGCCTCCTGAGTTGCTGGGACCACAGGCGTGTGCCACTAAACGGGGCTGAGAACAATGTTTGGAAGCTCCTTGGCCACACGGCCAACCTGCCCAGGCCCCTCTGTGAGCCTGGTGAGTGACCCGGACCTGCCTAACCAGTGTCTGTGGAAGCTGGCCAGCTTCCACAGACAGAAACCGATGATGTCACCCCTCCGGTGGCGCGAAGCTCTGGATCAAGGCGTTTCCCTCAGGAGTCTCCGAGGGAAGGTTCCTCCTGTCCTCTCCTCTTCCTCACTCCCCTCATCAATGTCATCCAGTGGTGCCAGTCACTGGAGTGAGGGCCTGCTCCCAGCGCACGAGGATCCCATCTGGAAATCTTTAGATCTGCAAAGACCTGGTTTCCAGGGAAGGTCACCTGCTGAGGTCCTACAGTACTGGGCAGAGGCCGCGGCCCAGAAGGCACAGGACCCAGAGTGCCCTGGCTGAAGAGTGGAGTCGCGGGCTTCCTGGGTGTGAGGTGCGGCAAGAGCTCTCGGTTAACCAGTGGGGTCACAGCTGGGGAAACTGAGGCAGCGAGCCATTCATCACCTGCCAGGTCACACACTGCTGCGTGCTGGAGGACACCGGGAGCCAGCCAGGACATGAGCCCGTGGAGTGTTCCTACCTGGGATGGAAGCCTAACAAACCAGAGGCAGGAGGCGTTTCTGAAGGTCCCTGGCTAGCCCCTCGGAGGGAAGGAGGGGCCTTGGGAGAGGGGATGACCCGAGCCAGGGCCCTGAGGCTGCGGGCCCCTCCCCCCTCTCTGTCCCTCTGCCGGAGAACCTTCTCCCCTGCCAGCCTGGGCTTCTTTGCACCTGGACAAACCCTTGGGCCCAGGTGGGTTGGTTTCAGGTAGAGAGATCCTCAGGAAGGACCTGGATTGGTCTGTTTTGTCACATGCCCAGCTTCAGCCCGCCACACTGCAAGGGGTTGGCTCTCTAATTGGTCCAGCTGGGGGGGTGGTGTCCAATCCCTCCAGGGAGGAGGGCGGGCTCAAGTGAGGAGCTGGTAACTCCCCCTGGGACCCCAGAGGGGGCAGCAGTGGTTCCCAGAAGAAGAAGCCCGCACAGGGCTGGGTGGACAGATCTGGCTGCCACCCCAGGGCTTTGAGCAGGAAGCTCCGCCCTGACGCACTGTGGCCTGGGCCAGTGGGGGGCGGGGAGTGTGCCCGGACCTCTTGTGCACACCAAGGAAGAGGAGGGCCACGGAGCTGCACCCGCAGGGGAGAGGGAGGATCCGAGAGGTCCACCTGGCTCTGCTTTCTCACCACTCCCCGGGCATCCCCCCTCCCTTCCTGGCACTTGCTGCCCCAGGAAAAGTGCGATGGCGGAAGGCTGAGGCCTGCCAACGGGAGTAGGCAGAGGTTCCCCACCCGGCAGAGCTCCTGGGGACCCACGGAGGAGGGGGGACACGCACCTGACCTCAGAGGCAGGCCCAGGGCAGGTGCCGGAGGGGAGAGGCCCAGGGAGCCCAGGGTCAGCACTGCCACTGGCCTGTAGGATGGCTTCCCCAGACCACGCTGGGCACGGGGCTTGGCAGGTGGCCAGGCTGGGTGCCAAGCTGCACTTACCACCTCTATGCTCTCTTGCCCTGCTCCCTGGTGGCCCACGTAAATGGTGGCCGGGGCTCCCAGGTAAATGGGGGCTACCAGGCCCCAGAGGGGTGAGGATCATCAGGCGTTGCCCCTTCTGGTTTGTGAAGATGGACGTCCCTGAAGACCTGACCGAGGACCAGCCCACCTGGTGCCTCACCCCGAAATCCTGACTCAAGAGCTGAAGTTGTGTTTCCCGCCAGACTGGCAGAGTGGGGCTTAGGGACTGAAATACCCGGCAGAAAACAGAAACCCTCCTTACACGACTACGGGCATGGAGCGGGATTCACGTCCAGCACGCTCACGTGACCTCCTGTTACTCCCACCTTCACCCCGGAGGTTGGAAGCCCTGTTCCTATCGCACAGATGAGAAAGGTGAGACAGACTCAGAGGGGTCGAGGAACCTGCCCTGAGTCACACAGCCTCAGTCCCGGTGCCAGCCAGCACCCCGTCTCTAACTCCGTCTCTCTCCTGCTTGGCCCTCTCCTCTCTGCTCATCCCTACTTTCACTCATTCCACAATTTTTTCGAGCACCATTTATAGCCCTCACACCCTGCTAGATCCTAAGGCATATGGTGGGGGAACTGGCCAGATGGATCGCGATAGATCTGCCGCGGAAGAGCAGAAACGTGCCCTGCTTCCTAGCTGTGTTGCCCTGAGCAATTGATCTAGCGCTTGGCCTCTCTGTGGCTCGGTCTCCTCATCTGTAAAACGGGGATAATAATGGTGCACACCCAATGGAGAGTTCTTGATGGGACCCAGCCAGCTGTGCTCCTGGAAGGAAGTGGGCATGCGTGGCCACCTTGAGGCGGAGCCTGCATTCTCACGGGAGACTCATCTCTCCCATTCACTTACTTATCCAGCAGAATGGATTCATGGTGTACAGTCTTGTAATCCAACACCGCACCTATTTGTGGCTCAGACTGTTCCATCTTTGGCTACTGGAGGTTCCTTCAGTTGTTTTTTTGCCTTTTAATAGTGTGTGTGTGTGTGTGTGTTTAAGCGCTTCCTTAGTTTCTGGACTCACGAGATATTCCAGGCTCATTTTGGGTCTTTCTTGCCAAACTCCGAGAATCAGCCATTCTCCCAGCAATCTCGGCTCCTTTAATTGCAGAATTGGAGAACGATATTAGGAGCCAACACTCCATGGGTATAGACTGTACTACGTATTCATGGGCTCATGGATATTTAGGTTGTTTCCACTATGGGCTATGAATGCATGGATTCCGCTTGACGTGACTGCAGCCATCTTGAGTGGCAACCACCATGAATGATGCCTCAGAGTCACCCCAGTCGGGTTTCCTGCATAGATTCCCAGCAAACTATGAAGAGACCGAACCGTCACGGTAGTATGTGGAGCCTTACGACTGGGCCCGGGCTCCTGGGATATGCCTGGTTCTTCGATACTGTTTAAGGTGAAGCAGTTATGTTCAGTCAGGATGAAGTCACCGTTGTCCTAACTCTACTTTACATCCCTCTTTCTAACCCAGATTGCAGGATCCAACTGGTTTTGCTGCCTCCCAGGACCACCCTTCCGTAAGTCCCCAGTAAGTAGCACTCTGCAATCCTGGATCTGTCTGCTTCTCTTTCTTTCATCTCATGGCACCTTGGGGCTGGGTTGCTCCTGAGCAGCTGCTATGGACAGTGCTTCTGTGAACAAGGGTGTTGACATGTGTCATCATTTCTCTTGGACACACACCTAGGAATGCTCAAACGCTCTGTGGCCACCTTTCCCAGGAACCACCAAACTGTTTTCCAAACTGGCCGGGTGCAAAAGCTGGGCACGGTGGCCTGGAGGCTGAGACAGGAGGATCCCAACTTCAAAGACAGCCTCAGCTACTTAGGGAGACTCTGTCTCAAAATGAAAAATAAAGAATGACCGGGGATGAAGCTTAGTGTCAAAGTGCCTCTGGGTTCAATCCTCAATACTGACAAAAAAAAAAAAAAAGAGCCGGGTGTGGTGGTACATGCCTGTAATCCCAGCAGCTCAGGAGGCCGAGGCAGGAGGATCCTGAGTTCAAAGGCCAGCCTCAGCAAAAGCAAGGAGCTAAGCAGCTCAGGGAGACCCTGTCTCTAAATAAAATACAAAACAGGGCTGGGGATGTGGTTCAGTGATGAGTGCCCCTGAGTTCAATCCCTGGTACCTCCCACAAAAAAAGAAGCAGCCACGTCACTCCACAGTCCTTCAGCAACAGACGGGATTCTGACCCCACACGGCCTCCTATTGCTGCCTATTACTTGAACCCAGGGCCTCCCACGTGCTGGGCAGGCATCTACCACTGACCAACTCCTCCATCCCTTTTAAAAATTTTTATTTTAAAAAAAATTCCTGCCATCTTTAATTGGATTAGGATCGCTGCTCTTGGTGTCCCTTCAGTTCTGCCCCTGAGGGCCCCTCTCTTTTCATCCTAGTCCCAACTCTGATCTGCAGGGGAAGAGCAGGGCCCCGAGCCTCAGGGCAGCTCATCGGTTCCCAAGGGCTTTCAAGGCCAGATGTGGCACGAAGATTTGGCCATAGGACGGAGGGCCCTCGATCTGGGAGGGTGGACATCCTGGAGGGAGGAGGGAGGGGACCAGAGGGTGCACTGTCGACCCAGTCTGCTGGGAACTGGCCTCGCGGGGACAGCTGCTCTGCACGGGAACAAGAGGGAATTTCCAGGGTTCCTGCAGGGGACAGAGGCAGGCTCTGCTCTGCTGGTTGGCACCTCACCCTCTGTGCCCACAGGGAGCTGGGCTCCTGCCTGTCCCTTTCCAGGCCACCCCTCCCACCTATGCTTGCTGATATCCAGGGTGTTTGTCCCCAGACCGGTTTGCACCTGTCCCGTCTCTCCATTGTGCCCCTGACTATAATTAACTGTTACATAAGCTGCTGAAACTCGAGAACAAATAGAAAAAGTGCGGTGGTTTCTGTGAAAATAATCTTGAACCCCACAGGCCAGATGCTTCAAAGGCGGCTGCAGGTCGACAGGTCTTCTGAAGGCACGGAGGGCTCTATCTCCACTTTAGAGAGTCAAGCCCAGAGGGCGACGGCACTGTCCCATGGGGTGGGGTAGGCAAGAGGTGTCGTCCAGTCTTAGGTCGCTGCCAGGCTCCCAGGAGAGGTCTGAGGTCCCCACCAATAGAATCATGAGAATCTGTCACCTACGCGAGTTAAAGCCAACGGTTCAAGGCATCACGGACCCTCAGCACCGCGCTCCCATTCAACCTAGCGCCTTCTGTAACTGGCACCTGCTGGTCCCCCCACCCCCCGCAGTGAGACCAAAGAACTCTGCTTCATGACAGCCTCCAGCGTGGGGGACAGAGGGAGTAGACCCAGGTCAGAAGGAAGAGGGACACTGAGGGAGGCGCCAGACTCCAGGCCGATGGCTTTCTGCCCCCCTGGACCCAGGCACCAGCCCTGTGCATGAGGCAGGGCTGGGGTAACAGCCCCCCTCCCCAGATGTTGCAAGTGAGGCCCCTATGGGCAGCGTAGATCTGCAAATGACACCTGAGTCTCTGGGGGCTCGTCTCCTTTGCCACGGAGGGGGCTGGGCAGGCCTGTGTTAAGAAATGCCACCAGTGGAAAATTCACGTCACTTGCCAGAAATAAAAAGTAACCATAAGGTAAGCCCCACGAGGCCAATAATGTAATTAAATCCCAGGCCGACGACACTGTCCCACTGTCAATTGGAGGCCGGACTCAGCCTACACCTCTTCTCCCCTGGACATAAGGGTACACAGCCCATGTCACAGAGGCGGTCACCCTCTAGGACACCCCATGAGGTGCTGGGGCACCCAACGGTTGTTTCCTCCCTGCCTAACCACAAGAGTGGAGAGAGACTTGAAAGGTGGCTTCTGCACCTACCCGGAACTTTCCCTCCATGGAAGTCTGCACTAGTTAATGCCAGGTCCACATAGCACCAAATGGACTCCCCAGGGGGACATGGCCACACCAGCGACAAGGAAGGGCTTGCTTGGTGAACCTGCATCCAAATCGGATGCACTGGGGCCTACAGTTCAAGGCCTCCGCCACCCGGCCAGCTCCCCCGGGCAGGGGACCCCCAGGCGTGCCCATCTGCCGACACCGGGGACTTGCGCTCCGTGCCCCTGCTCAGTTTCCTGAGTCTGGTTAGTAGAAAGGCAAGTCCCAGGGTTCAGCCATGCTGGGGATGCTGGGAGGAGAGACCCAACCCTAGGCCCCAGCGCCAGGTCCTGCCCCCTCTGTCCTCTCCCGACGCCCCCCTCCCACCAGGGGAGCCTGCGCTATTCCCCCCACGCACTGCATGGAGGCCTCCTGGGCCCACCCTGGACGGTCGTCAGTCAAGGAGAGCCCAGGGAATCAGGCCCAGACGAGGTGACTTCAGAGAGGGGTGAGAGGAGGCTGGGGCACCAGGGAGGAGGGGTGGACAGGCCGCCCCGTGAGGCCATGGTCAGGTTCAGAGCAGAGAGAACACAAGGGGAGTTCTGGAAGGCTTGAGGGGAATGTGGCTGGGGCCTGGCTGGCAGGGGGGCCAGCATGGCTGGTGCAGGCTGCTCAGCCCTGTTCTGGGCCTGCGAGGTGTGAGCCTCCCTCTCCCCAGGCCTTGCCCTCCTTCCACCCTCCACGACTCAGGGCTGGCAGCTGGGTGGGGGTGAGGGGAGCCAGAGAGGGCACCTGGCATCTGCCCAGGTTCCTGCATGGATGTGGAGGAGGAGTGAGCCTGGGGGATGGCGTGAGTTTGGCTCCGGGCAGCAGGAGGGGTCGTGGGCCCTGCAGGAAGACGTCCAGTCTGCCTGGGTGGGAGTTCTCGGCCAAGCTCCTGCCGCAGCTTCAGAGCCAGCTCCAGCCCTGATCTGTCTGCTGCAAGGGCAGCCCAAGGCCACCAGCGCCCCCAGGTGGATGATTTGAGAATGACCGAGCACCTCAAGCGGCAGCCTCCATCAACCCATCTGAATCCTCCTCCACCCCCCACCTGATCTGGGGCCCCAGAAAGCTCACTGGACTTGTTGGTTTTGTTATGTGCAAACTGGGATTCTATCCTTCAGATAGCTGGGCTTCCTCCCCACACCATTTATTTTCACTGGCAGGGCCAATAGGTGACGGGAGGACATAGCCACACAGTGACCTCAGAGGTCTCCGAAATCCAGAAGATTCAAATTCTAATCATAGTCAAGGGCAGGGGACCCTAGCTCCTAATGACATCACTATCCCCATCCCTTGCCAGGCCACCTGCAGGGCCGACTTCACTTGGCTGCTCAGGCCCCGCTCTGATCCCTCCACTTGAAACACTTTCAAACAGGTCATAGGTGGTTTGTTTGTTTTCTTTTTTCTTTTCCATTTGTTTTGGGGTTGGGGGTGACATATTTGCAGGGTGAAGGAATCCCAGCACTCTGAGGGCTATGCACTTAGAGTTAGGGTCCTGCCACCTCAACATGGGCCAGGGTGGTGTTTTGATGAAACCGCTCTGAGCCACTGTAACTTCAGAAAGAGCCCCTGGCCCATCATTTCCTACCTGCAGAGGGCACAGGATTCTCTCTGGAGCTATGTCCCTCATATACCACGACGGGAGAAGAGCCCTGGCGCCCAGAGCCCAGGGACTGGGAGGCACTAACCCTGCACAAAGAGGCTCTCCTGGAGCAGGCTGGGGTGGTGGCTCAGTGGTAGAGTACTTGCCTAGCATGTGTGAGGCACTGGGCTCGATTCTCAGCACACATATAAATAAATAAATAAATAAATAAATAAATAAATAAATAAGGTTCCTTAACACAAAAAAATATTTTTTTAAAAAAGAGGCTCTTGAGCAACCCTTTACCTCCCACAAGCCGCCACCCCCCACCCCCTCCTACACATCTTAATGCCACCCCTAAAATTTACTACTCAAGTCCAGGTATCCATCTGCCCTATCATTCCTTCATGATTTTATTAGTTTTTGTCCAAAAATGTAAAAAGTATCATGTTTTCATCATTTTGGGGGGCTTCACTCTCATGTGAAGATCTCCATGTGCATGTGGAATTGATAAAAGTTCAGTGCTACCAGCCTCATGCCTGTGATCCCAGTGGCTGAGGAGGCTGAGGCAGTAGCATCACAAGTTCAAAGCCAGCCTCAGCATCTCAGCAAGGCCCCAAGCAATTTAGCGAGATCCTCTCTCTAAATAAAACATAAAAAGAGAGCTGGATGTGGTTCCATGCTTCTGGGTTACATCCCCAGTACCCCCCCCACACACACACACGCACACACACACACTCACACACACACACGGGTGCTTTTGTTAATTGGCGCCTACATCCGTCCGCTGGGTTCCTAGATCCAGCTGCAGACCCCACAGAAGGACCAAGGGGCGGCCAGGGGATCTCTCCCAGCCTTCTGCATCCTGTTGTCTCTCCCTGTCCCCCTGGAACCATCCAGCCCCAAGGCATGAGGTAGGGCTGGGAGGCAAGCAGATGTCCCCCTGAGTGTGTCGGGGTCCAGGGCTCTGGTGACAACAGAAGCAGCTGCTGGAGCAGTTGGGTGAGTATCGCGGGCTTTGGGGGCCATGGGATTTCTGTTGAGGCTCCTTGAATGAACCGGACGGTGCCCCAGAGGAATTTCAATTGCAGGCCACAGGTGGGTCAATGGCGCCAAGGCCAGATTCTCCTCGCGATTCGTCGAAAGATCTAAATGGCCTTTATGAGCGACTTGTAAGTGGGGTAGCTTCTCATGTTGCCAAACAGACCCGACGCTGAGCAGGGAGGGGGCTCTGTGGGCAGGACGGGCTGAAGCAAGCAGAGAGAAGGAATCAAAGGGTGGACTGGCCATTTCCAAGTGCCTTTCCTCACAGAGTGAAAACAGAAGGGACTTCCGGTCACCAGCTCAGGTGATCTGGGCCCTTCTGTTCAGTTGCTGTGAATCTTCTGGTTTCTGGAAAACCGACTCCTTCAAGGCTCCGTTTAT